ATATATATATATATATATATATATATATATATATATACACACACATTTACATGTACTACCCCCTCATTGTGGATTAAGAAAACTTTAAAATACTTTAAGAAAATTTATGATGAGATTATGGCAACCATTGAAGATCTTTAACAACACATACACTTCTTAATACACTTCATTGAACATGTACACAGACATCACTGTTTTGGAAAGACACTATACTATATAACTACAGGTTAACCATGTTTATATATAAGCGCTATAGGCTACAAAATAAACTTGAAAATGTATGATTCAGTAGGCTAGTAATTCGCAACAAATATAGCATATGAGTAATATAATAATTCATTTAAAGTTGAGATCTGTGAATGATTGAATTGAACTGAGCGTAATTTTTTCTTCCCAGAGTCAGACTGCAACCTCTGTTTTGACTCGCCTGAAGCTGTGATCCGATTGGTCGTCACAGCTCTGATGGGCGTGGCTGCTTTGGCTGCTGTTGTTGTTCTGGTTTATGACATCAAAACCAGACAAGAAGAAAGAATCATCACCACCAGCTTTAGAGACTGATGAATCACATATTGTAAACAATGTAATTTTGTTAAAATGTACAAATATTTTTAAGCACCAGTTAGGTATAGTAATATATGTATTATGATTACCAGAGATGTAGCCCTCATGGATTGCTGGAGAACACTCCGTCATTCACATGAACTACATATCCCATCAAGCACTGCAATTACACACCATTTCCAGGTCACCCCTTGATTACGCACTGACAGTTGAAGCTGTTGAAGACTTATTTCTTGGATGGTTTACATCACACACACATCCATTGCTGTGTCTTGTTTCCAGAGTGTACATTTCATAGTGTTTTCCTAGTCTTGCCCTGACCCTGTGTTTGATTACTGTTTGTGTTGTTTTGCCGCCAGCCTTGACCATTTGCCTGTGACTTCGACTTCTCTGTTGGATTATCTGTATGCTCCCAATTGTCCCTGCTTGGACTAAATCTGCCTTACTCTTAATAAACTTAACATTTGCATCTGCATCTTTGTTGCCAACCCCAGTCATTGTTTCATTGTTATTTAAAAAAAAATCAAATCATTTGAGATTCCATTAAACCTTAAAACTTTTAATTTATCTCAGGTTGATTTTATTTCTATTTACTATTTCTTTTTCCTTTATACCTCTGTAGATATAACAAAAGTGCAATTTCGATTTATTATTTTATTATATTGAATGATAATGATACATATTTCGATATAAGTTGTTAATGCTTCCAGATTTAAAAGAGTACCCCAACAATGACTGAAGCCACAAAAATTAGAGGATCCATTAAATGGCATAACATAGTTTTGGCCGATAAATTTTCTGTGGCTGAAAATTTGGTTCATCTCTAATATTAACACACTTTTAGATTCTCATTGTTGCACATTTCTGCTGTGTGGTTGGCTGTTATCAATATAGAGTAAAAAAGTCCAGAGCTTATCATTGTAATTGACGTAATATTTATCACGATTTGATATAATATTGTTTATCAGCCCAGCCCTAGCTAGAATAGTTGGTGGCTCATTCCGCTGTGGCGACTCCTGATAAATTTGGACTAAGCTGAAGGAAAATGGATGAATGAATCTAACAAGTAAAGTGATGTGTAAATAAATAAATCTAAATAAAACTTGGAAAATGAAATAATGGTAAAAAAAATAGAACAACAAGTTTGGTATGACTTTATTTTTACGTATTCTCACTATTAACTTGTGGCTAATAACCTGCCTATTTTTAATATATTGGCTGTTTATTCATACATATTCTGCATGATCATATTTTACACCCCTAATAACCAATAACTTACCTTACCTTAATAATACTTTACTAATTTTTAACAACAGCAAATTAGATATTTATTGAGGTTAAAGTCATATTAATGGTTTGTAAATAGTGAGAATTGTATCTTAAAATTAAGTGTACCAATATTTTTATATCCATTTATAATATTAACTTTGTGAAATAAGAATTGAGTCTTTATGCAAAAAGATCTCTTCCATTTTGCACATCTCTCACACAAGGATTATGATATATGCGAGTCTAAAAGTCAGGAAACCGCTGTAATAGATTGTGTCACATGATGACAAGTGGGGGGTGATATCTGTTCACATACACAATCACACTCTCACAAGCACCTCCAACATGCGGAAGAGTTTCTTTAATAACCTTAGACTATTTCGTCATATTAATTTAAGATTATTGATTTTATCTCCAGCTGTTGAAGATGATGTTGCACATTTCTTTCCTCCCTCTGTGTTTGTGTTATCTGCAGCCTGGTGAGTTTTAAAGGTGTTATGTCTCACTTCTTGTTCACTTCAAATGGTTTAAAAGATTTAAAACAGCTGCTATTATTCTTGCTAAGCAGGTGTTTTTGGCGTTGATATAAATGAAATGAAGAGTGTTTCAGTGAAGATGGGAGAATCAGTAAATCTACACACTGATGATGAATTACAGTCATATTTCAGTATAGAGTGGTGGTTTGGAGGCAGCCGCATCGCTAGAATCAAGAGAGGAATCCTGGACAGTCCTCAATATAAGGATGAGAGATTCACTGATAGACTGAAGCTGGATAATCAGACTGGATCTCTGACCATCATCAACACCAGAAGAACAGATGAAGGAGTTTATGAACTAACAATCACTACTGACAATGAGGAGTCAACCAGGAGATTCAATCTTACTGTTAATGGTAAGTAGAGACTACAGTGTTATATTGCTCCTTTACTCTTCATAATCTTGCATGTTTTAAAGCTTGGCATTAGAAACATTTGTAGTGATTTCCATATATAAAATATGAATAAAAATATCCAGTGGGAGCCAAAAAAATTATTAATTATTTTAAGCAGTTTTTAGAGAGCCGCTGTGCTCTACAGGTTATTACATAGGATCTTATTTCTGTTCTATCTATATTTCTGGCATTTTCAGCTCATCCATCCACCATCACTAGTCAAAATCCTCCATCATCTGAAAGTGCCACAGGTAATGACACTCATATATTCAGATAAACAGCACGACTGTGAGTTTGATATTGTCTGCACACATCAGTTAAGTGATTTTGATAGTACTGATGTGAACCAGGGCCTGTTTACACTGAATTTAAATTACTGGTTAATATTTGCATTGCTTTCACAGTAAAATACTGTATGCAAATTCACAACAAACAGTAATTTTTGTGATTTTGTTACGTTAAATTAATATGAAATTACAGCCACATAGTATAACTTCACAGTAGATAGTAATGTCCATTACTGTGATTTCACAGTGTTATTTTGTAGAATTAACTATATTTTACTGTACAGCAGGCTTTTCTCAGCTATTCATTTTAACACTTACTCTGACTTTGAAATCATTTTAGGTGTTTAATAGTGTTTGGTTTCATAAATCAATTACTTTTGTTCCAGTTTATTATGTTTTGGCTAAGCACAAAGTTATGTTCATTAAAAATTATTTCATATTTTCATGTTCAACTTACACATTTATATAAAGGTGCAGTGCACCCAAAAATGAACATTTACTATGACATTTATGTAATTTCAACACAGGATGGTTTTCTTTCAAGTTATTTTTGAAGATGTAACCAAATTTTTTGGGGGGCTGCAATAAAATTTAGCTTTTTTTAAAATATCAAGAAAGTGCCAATACTTGTGTAAGGCTTAAAGCTTACGCTGCTATTCTGAACCAATAATCGGAAACAGGAAGCAGTTGAAGGATGGCGTGTTTAAATCCATTATTTATCTGACTCCATTGTAATTAATCTGACTCCATTAAAGTTGTTATCATCATTGATAAAGAGAAAGAATCTCAAAGCTTAAAGCAGGCAAAGTTGTTTATTAAGTTACATGATCAAATATACAGACATTAGAATGAAACAAACTAAGATACTGTATAAAGAAATTAGCTGTAACATATGCACTGCTGAGCAACAAAGATAGTGAAACTGCCTTTGTTAGCATATGAGGCTACGCACTGGTGTGCGGGAGATGCAGAGTAAAAGCCATTCTCCCAGATCAACAGTTACCTTTCCCTATTATACCCTGAGCAAAGCATTGTCAAACATGAGTGAAAACCAACCCCCAAAACCAGCTGAACGTGAGAACAAAGTTGAAGAGATGAAGTGGGGGAGAAGAACATTAACATACTCTCCTCAGGCCATGACCCAACAATAGTAAATATATTGTAGATTGAAATACAATTAATCAATGTCTCTGTTGATTTCATCACTACAACACTGAAGTCATAAACTGTCAAATGACACCAAACATGACAAAGATATCAGAAGGAAGAACACAAGCAGATGAATTGTGTATGGTGAAGAGCACATGGTTACTCTAAGCAAATGGCAGAGATGTGTATCGGTGCTGTGAGGAACTCTGCCTCACCAGGAGGACCCATCCCATGCTTGGAATGTCTCAGTAGTCCTTCATTAGCATAGAAGGAAATATATATCATATTTTCTCAGCTTACACTTGCAAAAAAGTTCATTTGTAATAATGTCTATGATGAATGAAAGAAAAAGAGTTTGAATTCCCATAACTAACATGCAAAAGATGTAGCCCTTTTTACAGTAATTTGCTGTTATCATGCTAATTTGATTAACTTCACAATAAAATTCTGAATACAACGCATTACTGTGAATTTTTACAGTTAAATCATGTAAAGTAATCCTAATGTAATTTACTGTGAAAAATTCAGTAACGTTATATGAACATCTGCATTTTTTTTACAGTGCAGTTCTTACTTTCTCTCCGCTATTACATCTGAAGAAACTGTTTTTTGGATCTTGCTCATGTTTTCACCTGTCAGAGTATTAACAGTGCAGAAAATGAATAAGCTTGACTTGATTGTGAAGCACTTAGGGTGTATGGCCATACACGACAAATGCGCTATATAAATACACACATTACATTACATTGATTATTTGTTTTTATTTCCTTACTTGTCTTTTACCTGTTTATGTAAACCACTTTTAATTGCCACTGTGTATAATATGTGCTATATAAACAAACCTGCCTTGTCTAATAACTCATTTCTAATTACTGATTTATTTTGTCTTTGCCATGATGACTGTACCGATTATTTTACTAGATATATTAAAGATACTAGCACTCGGATTAAAGTGACATTTAAAGGCTTAACTAGGTTATTTATGTTAACTGGGTGAGTTGGGATAATTAGGAAAGTCCTTGTACAATGATGATCTGTGTAATAGTTAAATAATATTGACCTTAAAATGATTTTTTTTTATTAATAAACTGACTTTATCCTAGCCGGAAAAAACAAATAAGACTTTCTCCAGAAGAAAAATATTATAGGAAATACTGAGAAAAAAATCCTCGCTCTGTTAAACATAATTCGGGAAATATTTGAAAGAGACAAAAAAAAAAAAAAAAAAAAAAACTCACAGGAGGGCAGATAATTTTGACTTAAACTGTATGTATAAGTATATGAATGCTTTTTTGAGTGTAGTTTCAAAAAATGTATTTTAATCTGACCACCTAACACCTTAATGAAGATACTACAAAAATAACCAAACGTAAAACAGTTTGTGTCAGTTGAGACCCGGTGCACGCGAGGTGACCAAAAATAAAAGGCACAAAGGAGAAGTGAAAAAACACTTTATGCTTACATTTGCGTCAAGTCAGCTCTTCAGGCTACTCAGTTTAACTTCTTGGTTTGGAAATGAAGAAGGGGTTTTAGTGTTGATGACCCCTAAACAGGGCCCCATAACTGCAGTGAACAGAACATGCTGATTATAAACCAGTTATTGCATTAGAATCAGAGGCCTCGTTTCCTTATGACAGTAACTTTTAAAGAGCAGTGGATCTTTATTTTATTTGAATAAAATGTAAACTTGTCTGCCTTGCTTGGAATTTAATGTGGGAAAAAATGAATGTCCAAACTATTGTTTATAATGTAAGTTTGTTGTGCGTGAAGAGTTTAATTTCCTGTTAACATAAAAAAATAGATAGTAAATGGTGAGTAAATTTTAATTTTTGGGTGCACTATGCCTTTAAGCACAACTCTCCACCTCCTGTCAACCAAAGACAGTTCATATACAGGCGTTTCTAAGAAAGCTGTTATTGTTTAAGGCTACACTGACATCGTTTATTTCATGCTATGTAAAACCATTTAAAGAGCTGCTCAGATGAAAATGATTTGCACATTGATTTTATTTTTACTCCATTTAATTGGTACGTAGAATTTATAAATATATATTCAGATTGAATATGTTGTCAAATGACTGAGATGTAGTTTGAATTCTAATGTGTGTTTGGGAGCATGATGAATAGCTTTAGTCCTGTTACTATTTACTCTGTTTTTCGTGTATCTAATTGATCTGTTAAAACATCAGTTAAAATCTACTCAAAATACTCAAATCCAGTTTTGTAATTTGGATCAGTAACACGTTTAACATTTAATTTTAGTAAAGTACAAGTAAACATTGCTTTAATAAACTCTAATCGTTTTTAGGAAAATTCATTTTACAAGAAAGAAATGTATTATTTATTTATATTTTCCATTGAGATTACGCAACTGACACAACAACAAATGTGAGTGACGAGCCATGTGCTAAAGTTTTGTGTTTGTTTCTGCAGGTGTGTTTGGTGTTGATGAAGTGTCAGTAAAGGAGGGAAATTCTGTCACTCTACACACTCATCTTCAAATAAAGAGAGATGAAGAGTCTGTGTGGAGCTTCAACAAAACTTGGATTGCTAAAGTGATTGAAGACAAACTCGCATATAATGAAGATGGAGAATTCCAAAACAGACTGAAGCTGGATCATCAGACTGGATCTCTGACCATCACAAACACCAGAACCACAGACTCTGGAGTATATATATTTACAACCATCATTGATAATAAACAGCTAACAAGGAGGTTCAGTGTTACTGTTTATGGTGAGTAAAGAATTAGTGTCATTTCTCCAGACCTCTGAATATTCATAAGTATCATCACTTTCATAAAACCCACCACATCATTACAAAGAAAGACAGTTCAGTCCACATCATATGAATTCATAACAAGTGGAAAAGGGAATCAAAAGGTGCAAAAGTGTACCCTAAAGGTTTTAATGTTCACCTGTACACAAAAAATTTACCTTTTAAAAATGTACCACCCCAGTGACCAATAAGAGTGAACCAGAATAGTGTAGTATTAATAGTTTGTCCAGTGTATCCAAATGCTGCTCAAATGTTTTTATGGGCCATTTTTGTCTTTTTAATTAAAAAGTTGATACAGTGTTATCATTAGAATAAAATAATTGTCAGATTCTTAAGTATCAGGAGTTAACTGTTCTTCAGGCATTACTTCATTTAACAACTGAATTTTACATGGATTGCTGCTGTAAAAGTGATATATACTCTTAATCTTGACCTGCTAAAACGATTTTAAGCTTGCCATAACTACACAAATGTTTGTAGTTTAGCCATATAACACATGGAAATAAATAGTAGGAGCCCTGGTTTAAAACATTTATATTAATTACATTTAGATTTATTATTATAAGTTATATTTAAGAAATCAAAAGAGGTTGATTGGAAAAAACATTACAAATATTTTTTATTGATTTCTTAATGCTTGATATATGTTATGGAGATGAGTTCTGGCAGTCAAAAGTTTATAATAGTTAATTTTTTAATAATGTTCTGATCACTAACATTGCATTTATTTAATCAAAATAAATACATTTTTTTAAAATGTTATTTATTCTATTCTAATGACATTATTTAAAAAGCTGAAAGACGCTACTTGATGTCCCACAGTGTTTTAATTGTTTAGTGAAAACAAAAATGTTTCAAGGGATTTCAGTGGCTCTTTACTTTGAAATTCACAACTTCATTTTTTAAAATATTCTTTATCTTTCTGTCTTTCTTTTTCTTTTTTTAAGTTTCCAAAACTATATTTTAACCTTTCCTTCATATAACAACAGAATGACTAAAGCATCTGTCTTACTTGCATTTGTTTTACCTGACATTTTTCCAGCTTATTCATCTACTACCATCACCTCTCATCCCAATCCTCCATCAGCTGAGACTGCCACAGGTAATACATCAATAAACAGCATGGGCCCTATCATACACCCGAGAGCAAAAGCGAAAGTGAACTTTTACGTCATTTAAATAGCAAATGCTCTTATGACGTGAAGCAGCTGGCTGTTAAAGGGAATGGGAGACTCTGATTTGTTTATTCTCAAAACACACCTATAACTCATTAAAAAAATAAACTCAACCTTTTTAGACCAGGGGTCACCAATCCTGGTCCTGGAGGGCCGGTGTCCCTGCAGGGTTTAGCTCCATCATGCCTCAACACACCTGCCTGGATGTTTCAAGTATACCTAAGAGCTTGATTAGCTTGTTCAGGTGTGTTTGATTAGGGTTGGAGCTAAAATCTGCAGGACACCAGCCCTCCAGGAGCAAATTTGGTGACCACTGTTTTTAGACCATGCGCCTTCGCGTAAAGAGGATTTTCCCGTCCTCATATTAGCACATATGGATTCTGACACCCTAAATGCGTTTGCGCCCTGTGCTTTCCTTATTGCGCATGGACAGTCAAAACAAAGCCCCATGAATGTGAGCTTGATATTACTTTAACTGTGAGTTGATAGTAATGTTGTGTAATGTAGTAAGGTCTGTAATTTAGCTCAATCTTTCTCTCTGCTGGCCTTTTTTTCTGTTACTACATCTGAAAATAATAGTAACAGTTTTTAGATCTTGCTCATGTTTTGACCTGCAGGAGCATTATTAAATTATCAAATTGATCCGGATTTAGTAATCCTGTTTTTGCGATCTGTGATCACGTAATCCAGCTTAATTTTGAGCCAGTTTTTCAAAGCAACATCGGATTGGATCAATCTGATCCGGTTAGGAACTTTTCAGGACCACTAAATCTGGATTACCAGTGCTCAATCACAATGTAGATAAACAGGCTTGTGTAAAGAGCAACAAATATATTAGCCTGTGTGGGGTCAATATAACTTTATTTTTATTTTAAATGAAAACTAAGAAAATGTAATAAATAACAAAATAATAATAATAATAATAATAATAATAAATAAGAAAAACAAGAAAAACCCCACCCCATCCTCTTTCAGCAGTCCGCTCATCTGAGACCTACAACACTGTACATTGAGGATATTTATAATAAGTTTCAAATTTAGATGTAAATGAAAAAGACTTGTCAGAAATGTCAGAAACTCCACAATAATTTCAGACTTCCTCATCTGATGTGAGAGACCAGCTTGTCTGAGCGTAGCCTTTAGGAGGCAGATCTGAAGTCTGGCCTTGGTTTGCTGCAGTTTGGTCAGAGTCAGTTGTTCCTCTGCCAGATGAAGCTGTGCTTCTGCCCTTTCACTCTCTTTTTGCAATTGTTGCAAGAGAAATCCAAAGTCATTGCCTTTCTTTGCATTTTTATTTTTGGTTATTCTGTTATCATTGC